TGAATGGTTTCTTTTCTTTTCTTTATTTTTAAAGAAATGCACTTGCCTATGATACTGTCCAGTGAAATGATTACTCCTCCATTACTCTATTGATACAATATTGTGCATGCTAGTGTTGTATTTCTATACAGTAGCTTGAAATTTATTAACTTATACTGTAGGTGTTATGTATTCCTATGACAAAAAAAACTAAGTCTTCAAATTTTTAAAAGTTTTTTTAATTTAATTTTTCCTTTTGGGGGTAAAGTTTGCTCTACCAAATAGTGATCGTAACAAATTGATCTGTTTTGGATGTTGCTATAGTGACATGCAGTTATATATTTTGTTTTTAAGGGGGGGAGCAAAAGAAGCACCAGTGTTAGCTTAATCTTAATGTCTGGTGTTTGTCATGGTGAAATTATAACTATTACAGTGTAGGAGAACAATGAGTATGTTCTCTGAATGAGCCTTTGTGCTTTTTGTCATGTTATGCAGTGAACTATTTTTAAGGTCTAATCAGTGATTATTTTTCCAACTCCGTGTTTCTCTAAGGAATTATTTCACACACGGACCATTCTTAGCAGTTTTCCTCAGTGATGGAATATCATGAATGTGAGTCATTATGTAGCTGTCGTACATTGAGCAAATAAACTTACAGATCTGATGTCAGTGCCACTTAGTTTTATTTAAATGAGTGGAAATTTTCCTTTGCTTTTGAAGATTTGATTGGATATGGGTGTTCTCTCCCCTTCCCCCACTCAAAGAATGAAGTAGGGTTGGGGGAAAGGGGCAAAACAGTATGTATTGGAAAGTGCCTCTGTCTGGGAATCAGACTTGGGTTTACTGACCTTGAAAAATGATGGCACCTTTGGGGTCTGCATTGTGTCTGGTACAAAACAAACCTAAGTTTGAATCATGGCTCCTTTTGATCCTTGGGCAAATGACAAAACTTCTGAGCTCTGGGGTGGGGGTCTAAATAAACTGGGTCACATGCTGGTTAAGTATCTCTCAGGTGCTGGTTGGAGATCTCGTTATGCCTTAGATGAGGTGATTTATAGATTGGGGTATTTTAGTCCTTTGGAGGCAGTTGGCAGCCTTAGCTGGTGTGGACTGAGCTCTCACCATCTTGCTGATGGCAGCTGTCAGAACGGGCCACAGCTCAAATCCACATCCCTGGATGTAGGGGTGGTTCTGCCCTGACCAGCTGTGAGGCAGGGTTCGTCTACAGGGCAGAGGCTTTCCTCCATCAGCTTGGGCCTGCTCTGGCAGTGGGGGGGCTGGGGAGGATGTTAGTTTATGTATTGAAAGAAGGCTCTTCAGTTTTTTGAGAAATTTTAATTCATATTTTAGGAATAACACTGTGTGATTATTAGGCTTTTGCCATGTACTGAATGAATTCACTTATTTTGGCCCATTGTCACTCAGAACCGCCGCCCTGAAAATGCCACTGCAAAAACAGCTGTGGAAACAGAAGTGACCCATGTGCTGAAGGTCCCAGAACTCACCGATGACCCACATTGGAGCCCCAGTTTTCGGCCCCCGAGCTGCTTCTCCTAACCAGCTGGGCTGCTTCTGCTCAGCTCGGAGAGAAAACTGAGAACAGGCACCCCCACGCGCCGGCTGAGCTCTTGTTGTGTGGGAGGTACTGTGGGTAGAGAGTGGAGTCTTGCACAGATAGGGGCAAGAGCAGAAGTCAAGTTTATTTAACATCACAGGCTCATCAAGCTCTTCAGAAAGAAGAGTTGCCCCAGGAAGTTGTTACTATCACACCCTCGTTCCTTTGGTGTAACTTCCCATTACAGTTGCCTGGAATTTGATGTAAGACTGGAATTTGCCCAGAGGATTTTTCACAGAGAAATTTCTCTTGAGATAAAATACTGTGTGGCTGCATTTCTACCCAGTTTTAAGAGCTCTTACTGTGGTGTTGAGTTCTCAAGCTTAAACTTTTTCATCTCCGGACCACTTTACATAACTCTTAAGAGCTTTTGTTTATTAGGGTCTATCCAAAACTAGAAGCTGAAAATTTTCATTTAAAAATAGTAAAAACCTATTACATGTTAAGACACCTAACAATTCCATGAAAAGTGCTTTCCAAAACAAAAAATAGAAGAGTCGCGTTGTTTCACAGATCTCTCGGAAGTCATGTGGACTCCCATAATTGGTTCTGCATACAGTCTCTTGTGATATATTTCAAGTGTGAAGTATTTGAGGGGGGAAGAAACCTAGCATCACAATGATAAGTAGTTGGAAAATAGCCCTGAAGAACTGAGGTTAAGAAAGCTGTCCCGGGGGAGGGTCTAGCTCAGTGGTAGACCATGTGCTCAGCATGCACGAGGTCCTGGGTTCAGTCCCCAGTACCTCCATTAAATAAACAGACAAACCTAATTACACCCATCTCCCCGTCCCGCCAAAAAAAGCTGTCCTAATTCCAGAATTAGATGAAACTCTGGGATAGGCACCAATGACAGAGGTCCTCCTCTTCAGTGCACTCTAGAACTGAGAGAGGGAAGCAAATAAAGGTGATGGGCAGGAAGGAGGGAAACTGTAAGGAAGTGAAATGATGCTCTCTGCTTGGGGCATCCACAGAGCAGAATTCTCCATTCCTAGAACTTTGCACATGGAGTGGAGGGGACCTTTTGGTGTAGCAAATAAGCTGCTAGGTGGAGCAAGTGCAGTCTCCCTCCACTCTGTAATTACCATACCAGTGGGCCTCTGAGCTGGTCAGCTGAACCTGCATGTGGACTCTCAGTTGTTGATCTGCGTTGCTCAGAATGGCAGCTTCCTCCTGTGCACAGTTCTAAAAGGAAGCTTGGGGAAACCACCTGAAAACTAGCTGGGTAACACTGCTCTGCTTCTAGGAGTTGACATTAAATGGTCCAGCCTAATCAGAACATTAAAATGTGGTGTACCAGCTTGCTAATTAGCCTGCTGGTTTGAATTTTCCAACTCTGGTATGGATAAATGTGGTTGGATCTGAATGGCCACAAACCCTATCTGTAATTAACCAGGTACCTGTGGTCAACAAGGAGTTGGGGTGAGAGTGGCTGGGTCACACTGACTCAGTCCTTGGTATCAGGTCTTGGAATTGTTGGTATTTCATCTTTCTATTTTTATAGGGGAAAAAAGTGCAAAGAGACAGTATGGTGTTCACAAAACTTAAAATACTATCTGGCTAGTAGTTTGAAGACACTTGGTTTAATATGGCTGTTTCCCAGCCCCCTGGTTCCCCTTCCTGCAGGTACCCAAGCACTTTCCTCAGTGCTTCCTAATCTGGCTCAGTTTGAGAAGACAGACTTGACTGTTTTTGAGATTGGAAGGATTTTTGCTTCTTTTGAGCACTAAGTGACCTATGGGCCATATAAGGTTTTGCCTTGTCATTTAAAATATGGATAATTGAAATTTATGGTCCCAGTAGTTGCCTCTTGAGGTAGATTGAACCCTGTTTAAAGGATAGCTAAGTGGTATTGGTGTACCTTACCCCCTACCTTTTATTTTTAAAAAAATTCAAACACAAAAGTTGAAAAGAATGGTACAGTGATAACCAAATACCCATTATGTACACACTTAACACTTTTTTTTGTTTTATATTTCTCTTTGTCTTGTGGAACCTTGAAAGTAATGACATTTTGCTCCCTATGTTCATATTTTCCTAAAAGTAAGGACATTCTCTTGTAACCACATTGTTACCACACCTAAGGAAATCACAGTAATTCCCTAATATCAGCCTATATTCAAGTTTCCCCAAATTGTACCCAGAATGTTTTTGATAGTGCTTTCTAAACCCCCTGCCCACTGATGTAATTAAGTTGATTAACTGGATTTCAGTATTGTTTCTTTAGCCTCTACTGCTTCCATTTCTTTTTTTGTAACATTGACTTCTCCAGATACCAGGCTACTTGGTGGGTTTGTCCAGTTGTTTCCTCCTGTGTCATTTGATTTGTTCCCTCCCTGCTGGGGCATTTTTTTGTCTTGCATACAGATTTTGTCCTTCATCCAGCCTTTTCAGTAGTTCAGGTGGAACTGAATTTGAATTGAATGGTGGCTGGCTCAGGGGTCTCCCCCAGAATCGGGTGGTCCTAAGCAGCAGCCAGCGCCAGGGCCTGTTAAATGAGCCCAGGAGAACCATCTTCTTTTCTGACACGAGTCTTCCAGGCTAGGGTGTTTTGCCTCCTCACAACCCTCTCTTGCTTCCCTTGGATGGGAAAAGTACTAGGTAGGTGCCGACTCAGCACTTGCTTTGACTCAGCAAGCCATCTCACTCATGTACTCATTTGGCCTGGTGAGTCCTGGTGGTCTGCCGCTGTTCTGCCCCTGTGCCTGGGGGAGATGGCAAAATAGTGCAGCCCACCACCTTCCCAGAGTTCTCAGGAACCTGCAGTCATGTCTGAGAGGCTACCTTTGCATTGGATCTGCCTTGGGAGAATGAATCTAGACTTGTTTTTAACACAATCTTGGTGTTAACTGATGTTCAAATTACCCTGTTTATTGGCTCTTACATAAGGAGCGAAGAAAGAGGGATCAAAACCTCTTTCACTTTCACAGCCAGATTTTAGGGATGGTTGGTCAGTTCTTCAAAGCCTGACTGAAAGGTAATCTTGGATTTCCTTAGGTTAAAGGACCCTACCTCCCAAAATATGAAGGTTTTACATTATGGTTTATAGATGTTTTTGCCTGCTCGATTTGGGAACTGCTCAGTTTAAAAAAATTTTAAAAAAATCCTTTTGGGGACTGTTGTGGTCTCAGTGGTAAGTTCCAGGTTGGAGATGATAGGGGAGTGGGCGGACCAGGAGTGAAAAACACTCCTGCCTAAATTAGATTACATTCGAACAAACAAGATAGACTTGGGAAATAATGGCTGGGTAACCCGTATAAAGGATGAGCAGCTTGTGGCTGACTGCAAGCATTCTGGATGAGTTCCTTTGAATGTAATTTCCCTAAATGCTGTCCAGAACCCCAAGATCAAACAGATACCACATTCCACTGCTGGGCAAAAAGCAAAAGCAGCAATACTTCCTGTGATGTTAGGATTTAAGATTTATTTAGCTCAGTGCGACAGGACCAAAACGAACCTAGATAACAGAACAGCCCTGACCCACCCCTCAAGGCTTCAGCACCTACGAATGCACCAGCGACTGTTCTGACTGCCCCTGTATCATTACTTGGGTTACCAAATACTTTACAGGACCCTGGAGTTGGGAGGATTCAGCATCCATCCAGGCCCCAATCTGGGCCCCGGCCCCGCCCTCCACCTAGCGGCTGGCTCCAGTGGCGCCGTCCTGTTCCCGCCCCACTTCTCCAGGCCCCGGCCCCCGAGTGTCAGCCGAGTTCCGGTTCCTGCAAGCCTTCCCGCTACCCGGGTTACACCCAGACCCCGGCACGGCTGCAGCGCCCTCGAGCCCGACCCACCCCGGAGCCCCACCCTCAAGCCGCTCTCTGGTCACCTTCCATCCGAAACAACCTGGGCCCCGGGGGCAGGCTCTTGGTGTCTGAGTGTGCCAGGGGCCTCATTTTCTGTGGCGGCACATTTGCACGCATTCGCACCCGCGAACCCACGTGGGTAAGCTGCTCGGCTCTGCGCGGCCGTGTACCTCGGGGCCGCCCTGAAAGCCCACGGGCTCTGACAACCCGGGATAGCGAAGGGGCCAGGCCGGCCAGACACCCGGATGTGAGCGGGGCGGGGACGCGGCCGCCTTCCAATCGCGGGCAGCAGCGAGAGCCAATCACAGCCAGCCCGCCCCGCTCTTCCAATGGTCGGCCTGTTGCTAGGGTTCTGCCCTGGGATCCGCTTGGCGGCCTCCCGAGCCCCTTCTCTCCCCTCTGGCCCTCCTCCCACCGCGGACCTTCGTCCCCCATTCTCCACCCTCCCCTCTCTCCTATGTCTCCGCCCTCTGCGTGCGCCTTTGTCACCCGGAGTAACCTGGTCTGGGCTCTGCAGGGCATTGCAGCGCCTTATAGGGTGCTAGCGACGTCCGCGGGCGTGGTCCGTTGCCGCGGCCGGCGGAAGAGCCGGTTTTGGAGGGTGGAGCTCAGGGTCCCGCTGGACCCTTGACCACGTTCCTCTCTCATGTCCTGCCTGGGTTCGCCGTGCTTTCTTACCTACTTATCGCTTATTTGTAACCAACCCCAAGTTATCTACTTCCCCCCATATTTCAGAGGAAGCCGAGGACTCAGTACAGCTTGCCCGGCTCACGCAGCAGTTGGATGGGCTCAAAGGGAATGGCGATTCGGGTCTTTCAAGTTCCATCACTTCCCAGGCCCCATGGCAGAGCGGTGAGGTAGCAGGCGGCTGGTGAGGCTGGAGAGGTGGGCTGAGGCCTGGCCGCCTATGAAGGCCCATCCTCCTTCCCGCTCTGAACGTCCCTCCGTCCCCACCCTCTGCATAGACGCCTCTAACTTTGAATTGAGCGGCGGCCGTCCAGGGCTCGCATCCAGAATCCGAAGTCAGGAACGTTAGGGAGCGCAGACACCCCGATCTCTGTTCTCTCCTCCCGAAGCATAGCTGTAGAATCTGAGGCACGGGAGGGAGATGGGTTGCCCAAGGCATAGTCAAACCTGGATTTAGGTATTGAAGACCAACTAAAGTGCATACACTGTTTAGAATGGTGAGATGTCTGTCACTCAGCAGTCTGTCATTTTCCAAATGAAGGGTTCTCAGTGGCAGAAAGCTTTGGAATTTAGTATTTGGATTCCTGCCCCATTCTGTCCTAGTCATGGGGCATAACTCGTCAAGTTTCTTAGTCTTTCAGAGGGTCAGGTTCCAATCTGTAAAATGGGAATAATACCTCATAAAAATGCCCAATATTGACTGGGTGCCCCAGGCACTGTTCCAAAGGCTTCACTTGTGGAAGCTCCTCTCACTTGTGGAAGCCAGATAGGAGGCTTCCTCATTCATGAGTCCTTGATTAAAGCCAATTAGATCTTCACATTTACTCAGGTGAGTTTTGTTTTTTAACACACCTTATTAAAACTGGTCACATCTACCCTGGTTAACTCCATTTTCTTTCTTTCTTTTCTTTTTTTATTTAAACAATCTGTTCCTTCTCAGAACTTTATGTTCCTGATTATAAATTAAATCATTTTATAAACTTTTCCACTGCTTCTCTCCATCCGTCCTCTCATCATTTAAATTCATTGTCTTGTCTTGAAAGGAAATCTAATCTACACTTATTTTCTAAAGCTCAAGTCCCATTTTCCTGTCCTTTCATAATGAAACTGAAACCACAGTTACCATTTCCTCATATTTCCCTCAACTTTTGACTTACAAAGATTGCCAGTGATTTCACTGTGTAATAAGGGTGATCTCCATATTAATGTCTCAATAAAATCAAAGTTATCTCCCCATTATCAATTCCTATGAGTGTTTCAATGTTTATCTTCCTTGAAAAATAAATAAAAGCTTCCCATGTATTAATTCATGTAATCAGTTTCATTTTGCAGAGGAGGAAACAGACTTAGCAACTTACCCATGGTCCCACAGCTAGTAAGTGTCCCAGATGGGATTTGAACCCTTGCAGTTCGACAGTGGTGGCCACTAGCACAACCTTAATCCTCTACTGCCTCTCAGCGGCATGGGATTGCTATGAGGATTTAATAAGCTGAGTATTGGCAGCTAGCAGGTGCCCAGTACATGCCAGTTATGATTAGTAACAGAACACCTATGCAGCAAAGGCGCAGAGGGTGGGGCAGGCCTCCCTCACTCCTGGGCTCCAGGCCTTGGCTGCCAGACTCGGCAGGCAGACCAAGAAAGCGAACTGGGTCCTCCAGGAGGAGGAAACTTCCAGGAGGTTTGAGGGTTCCAGGTGACTGAATCCCAGAGCAGAAAAGAACATGGCCAACGGCTTGGTAGGTGCAGGGTTGGGGGTGTCAATGTTTTCAGATACTTGGGTCTTATGCCTCCTTTTCTGCTCTGGGACTGTCAGCACCCAGAATCTGAGCAGAGATTCCCGAAAGTTCTGGGGTGGGTGGTGTCAGGTATCTGGGTGTCTCTGGGAGAGCACCAGGGGGCAGTCACTTACTGTCCTGTCTGGGTCTGCGGGAGGTGGGGAGAATGTGGGGGGGTTCTAGCCCCAGTGCATCCTGCAGGGGGCGTCTCAGGACCTGCCCTGGCACCTCTCCATCCCCCTCACCAGTGGGGCCAAGGCTTCTTTTCCGGAGTTGGCCGGTACAGCCAGAGGCCTGAGCTGGCTGGGCCTGCTGCCTGCTTGGTAGGGATGGATTACTCCTTCAGACCCACTCTTCCTCCCACCCAGATCCTTGGGGCTCCAGGACCCCTGCGGAGGGATTGGCCTGTGGGACCACTCCCAGGGTTCAAGGCCTTTAGGCTGGTCAAGGCCTAGAGAAGGAGGGTTTCAGGATCTTCAAACTGGGCTGCCAAGGGGATTGTAGAAGGATAGCTCAGCCACCAGGGCCAGGGGAGAGGTGAGGGAGGGCGCTCAGGGGAGGGAGAAGGCTCAGTGATCAGAGAAGATGGAGGACTCCCGGAAAGGAGGGGGTTTCAGTGTGGGAGAAATGGTGAAGTCAGGGGTGGGGCTAAGAAAGGCAGATGGAGGAACAGAGAGGGACAGGGAGACCTAGTAAGGAGGACAGGTGCTCAGAAGGGGCTCCTTGAAGGGAGGAGGGCTGAGAGAGGGTGAGAGATCTCAGAGAGGGAGAGGGCTTGGTGAGGAGCAGGCTCAGGGACTGCTCTGGTCATCCACTCACCTGATTAAGTAAGTTCTCAGTCTCCCCATCCCACCACCTCCTCAGCCTGAATACAGCCATCCCTAGGGGGCTTTCAGAAGGACTTACTTGAACCCAACTTGTGGGTGGAGGAATGATGTGGGAAGAAAAGTGTTATCTAGACCTGCCCTGGGGTGAGAGCCAAGATTCCTCATGCCAGTCCCTGCTGGTCCTGCAGAGGGCTGTCCTTATACCCTTGGACGCCCCCGGGACTTTGGCCTTCCTACCATTGTTAGGAGACCTTGGGTAGCTGCCAATCTTAGTGAGTCCCAGTCTGCACAAAGCTGACAACGCTGTTGGAAAATCACGGCAGGAGGGGCCTCAGCGGCCACTCAGGCTCCTCAGAATGGAAACTGAGCCCAGAGCAGGACTGGACCCCAGGCCATGCCTCCAGCAGGGACAGAGCTGGCTGGAACCCAGAGCTGGCCTCAGCCCAGTGCTTTTTCCTGAACACAAAGCTGCTCCTGCCACCTCTATCCATTCTTTAATCCAAGCCTTCCTGGCAGGTTCTGCCCTGTTCAGCCCTGAGGTGGGGGTGAGGGTAGACTTCCTTCCACTGTTCCACTGGGGAAGCCCCTGGACCACCAGTGCTGTATCTTGACCCAACCATTGCCACTTAGGCTGGTCAGGGAGGTGTACCAGGCTGGTAGGCGTGCAAGGCTGGAAGGAAGGGTGGGAGGGAAACTCTCTTAGGGCGGGTCAGATTTCCCCAGGGTCCCTAGACATGACCTTTCTCTCTGGGCTGGGAGTGGGGAACCCTGGCCGGACACTTGACTTTCCCTTGCCCTCGGTCTGCCCTTCAGAACTGATGGAGGTGGTTGACTGCCCATTGAGGCTCTTCCACCCTCCATGCTCTGAGCTGAGGCCATCCAGAGATTCTGTTATTGATCCAGAGCTGTCTCTTCAGGGGGAGGGTATAGCTCAAGTGGTAGAGTGCATACTTAGCATGCATGAGGTCCTGGGTTCAATCCCCAGTACCTCCTCCAAGAATGAATAAATAATTACTTCCCCTCACCAGAGCTGTCTCTTCTTAGCCAGGCCTGGGATTCCTGTTATTTTTCATGCTTTAGCTCTCCCAGCACAACAGAGCTGTCTCGTAAGAGGCCCATGAGAATATGGCTCATCCTTGGGAGGCAGAGTTAGATGCATACAGTGAAGCCAGTCACCTGGGCAGGTGGAGGAGGACCCAGAGCTCTTGACTAAGAGGATCTTGCCAGGGATGGAGTGCCTCCCACCCACAGGCTCCTGTGCTCCTCAGGGCTGGAACACAGGGGCACTGGTAGATGAACAGACAGTACACGCTTTGGGGCGGGGGACAGACACTGGGCCTCCTCCACATTCCCAGGGCCTACTTCCCTAGGAGAGCAGCATGAGATCAGGGTTAGCCCCCATTTCATCAGGGTCTGAGCTCCAGGGCCCAGGGCCAAACTGGCTGAGACCAGCCCAGGCTTGCCCAGCTGCCCTCACCCATACTGCATCCTCCTTCTCTGCTTTGGTCCTGAGCTGGCAGCTCGGTCCCCTCTGTGCAAGTCTGGACCTGGGGCCAAGCCCTGAACTGCACGGCTGTCCCACACTCCCAGGTCCCACTGTGTGCCTGTTGGGGTGGAGTGCAGTGTAGAGGTGCAGGGGGTCAGGGTGAGGCCAGCAGATAGGATGCCTGTCTGCTTGATCTCCACCCTGCCCTGGGTTCTGCTGGAGCAGGCAGCGCTTGTGTGGCTGTCAGCAGACCAGAGGTCTGGGGTCTCTGTCAAACTCCTGGCCAGCCCTGGGAAGGGGCTCCAGGCCTACCCAACCCTTCTCTCCTTTCTTGGCTTGGTTGCCCCTCCCCCGTCACAACAGTGCTCAAGTGTTGCCCTTTGGCCCCAGCACTGAGGTCCTCTGTGCCCATTCCTGCTTCTCCACAGAGCAGCTGTGCCTGGCAAACCCTAGGTTGGTTCTGTAGCAGGGAAGATGATGGTATCTACAAACAGTTCAGTCCTCCAGCAGCCAAGGTCTGGGGGCTTCTTGATCTTACAGAGACCGGAGGTTAGGAAGCTTCAGGCAGGGAGCCATGGCAGTCGAGGGCTCAGGGCTTCAGCAAGTCTCCTCCTTCCCTCACCCAGCACCCCCACATCCCATCTGTCACCCCACACCACAGAGCCTGCTGCTGCCACATCCTGGCATGTGGCCCCCTTCCCCCTATCCCTGGCAGGACCCATGCCCACGACATCTCAGTAGCACATTGCCCCCTGCCTCTCGGCTGGCCCTTCCCAACCACTCTCCTCTAAGATCTGAGACCATTTCTAAAGCAGGGATGCTTCAACTCTTTGATGATTCGGTAGCCTGCACTTAGCACAGCCTTTAGTGCCCTCCAGGACGTCCCCCGTGACCTCCCTCACTTGCTGTCTGTGCTTGCAGCTCCTTCTCCAGCCTGAATGCGCCAGCCTTCCAGCCCTCAGCCATGCAGTCCCCTCTTGCCTATTACACAAGGGTTACTTCTGGAAATCCTTCTTTCCCACTCCGCGGAGGCCCTGCAGCCTGTCCTGGCCCCTCTCTAGTGATAATCTGCTTGTCACTGGGCTGTGTCCTCCACTTGCCCCCTTGAGCTCAAGCAGGGACTTGGACCAATGGGCTGGCTGCTGGGCCCAGTGGGGGTGCCAACAGGAAGGGCAGATTTCACAACTGAGAGGGAGAGAGGAAAGGAGAGACCCAGGGATCAGCTTGGAACTGAGCGCCCCACAGATTCCCTAGTGGAGCTGGGGCTGGTGAGAGGTGAGTGGCCACCAAAACAATGTGAGGTCCTAGAGGGAGCCTTTGTCATTGGTCTGGAGCAGGGCGCACTGCCCCTCAGACCTTCGGCTGAGCACAGGGCGCAGATGCAAGCATTCACTGAACCCAAACCAGCGTCTGAGTCTGCAGATCTGACAGACATCAGGGGCCTTGAGAGAGGGACCTAATAAAAATCCGGGCAAGGCCTGAAGAGGCTGGGAACAGCGGTAGGGCAGGGACTCCCCAGGTCTCCCGATACCCAGTGCCTGCCTCTCCCAGTGGAGACCCCAGACCTGAGCCAGCCTGCCTGTCCACCACTCTGCCCGGGGGTGCTGCCCAGATCACCCAGCTTCCAGGCCAGCCCAGCCTCTGACTCCCCTGCTGCCTCTGCCCCACCCTCACAGTGTGGCCCAGGCGGGCTCAGTTTCCTCATCCGCTACTTTGGTTTCCCAACTGGGGCCTGTTTCCTTTGGAGGGACTGAATTCATGTCTTCCGTACCCTGTGCCCCTGCTATGTCCCAGATGATTAATTGAGCCCTTAGGAGTTCAAAGCTGCTTCCCTTGGACTCCACTCCTGTAGCACCAATAGCACCAGGCGCCAGCCCCTGCCTGCCCCAGGCCACGGCCCTGGAATCTGGGCCTGAGACCCCAGGCAGCTCCCTCTAGGCCATTTTGCAGCCTTGCCCCCTCGAGCAGCCCTGGCTGCGGGCTCTGCTGCATCCTGGTCTTCCTCCTCTTGAGGCCGCATAGAGTGCCTGCAGGCAGCACTTTGGGTGCCTCTGCCCCACCAGGTTGTGTCTGAGCTAATCTGCCCTCCCTTGCCTGTGACCATACAGATGTCCCTCCACACGCTCCCAGACAAGCCCTGTGAACCCTGGCCAAGTCCCGTTGCTTCTTTGAGGCTTGCCGCCCAGTTGTCAAGCAGGAGTAAGTGCACCTCTTCTCAGGGCTGATGTGAGGATTACCTTGTCAAAGGCTTGGCGCCAGCTTTCCCACACTTCAAGGACACTGACAGAGGAGCTGGCAGCCTGGCAGCCTTGTGATCACTCCCTCTGACCAGACAGGAGGACCCAGCCAAAGCTCTGGAGGTCAGGGCCACCGTTTCCAGCCACCAGGGAGCTGGCCGGCAAAGCAAGGGCGAGACCCAGACGGGCTAACCACAGGAACGTGGAGGCGTCCAGGAGACACCTGAGATGTAGGGGTGTGGGGGTGGGGTATGTCAAGGAGGAGGGCAGATTTAGGAGATTGGAGCTCAGGGAACAAGCGGTGGAAGGGCGGGTAGACTGGGCAGTGCCCTGGCTGACAGGCCCAGACCCGCGCTGCCAGCTGGGCCAGCACAATCCTGGTTCCATGTGTTTATTTCACTGTTGGCCTCCCTCCAGGTTTGGGGCCTTCGAGTGTTGGGACCTGCTCTGGCTTGATGCCTGCTCCAGGTTGTGGCATCCTGCCGGGGAGTAGAAATTGAGAAGCCGGGCAGCGTAGGGGGTTTGGGGGGGCCTCAGGCCTCTCCCTCTGGGTGCCGCTCCTCTCAGGGACCCTGGGGAAGTAGGGCTCTGTACTTAGGAAAGGGTCTGGCCACAGCCTCAGGCGCTGGGACCTGGTTGGTAGAGATCGTGTGGGGTCTCTCAAGATCTTGGAGACTTCAGGCTAGGCTCCAAAGCCCCCATCTGCTTTCTCCATCCCGTAGGTCTCTCTGAACTCTCCTTGGGCCTGTGAGAGGGTGGTGGGTAAGACAAAAGAGAAGGCCGAGGCAGGAGTGACTGTCTCGGCCGGGGCCAGTCAAGGCAGGCCTTCTGGAAGTCACTGTCTTCCCCATCAGGCCTTTGCTTCTCTCCTACCAAAACCTAGGCCATACTGCACTCATTCTTTGCAGGGTGCCGTCAGGCCAGAGAGCCCAGGCCCCACTCTGCCTGCATGGCGGAGGACGGGTCCTTTGATGAAAAAGTCGCCTTAGAGTCACGAGGGGTGGTTACACCTCCCATACCTTCTCAATGGTCCTGCCCCTTTCCACGATGATGAAGTCAGTAGGGGACCCTGAGCTCCCAAGAAGCTCTCCTCCCTGGCCCTGCTCTGTCCCCCTCCACCTGCCCCCTGACCAGGTGTTCCTGAGTGCCTAAGCCTGGACCAGGGGCCTCTCTGGGTTCCTACCTCCCACACCTGGCCCTGGGGGTTTTAATTGCTATAAACAATCACTTCTCTCTTAGTAGACAAGGTATTGGAAGGCAGGGCTGTGCCCTGTGATAGACACCGGTGTACTCGCAGGGCCCAGCATGGGGTTTGGCATACAGCAGGCCCTCAGCAAATGTGATGAGTGTGTGAACCAGCACCAACCCCTAAGCCTCCACAAACACACCGGGTCTGAGGCAGTGGCCGGCAGGAACTTAGAACTTTATTTGAGAAAAACAGAAGGTAAACGTATCAAAAGAACACAGAGGCTTGGAGAGTGGGGATGGTCAAGGACGGCTACTGTGGAGTAGACAGCTGGGCTAAGGCCTTTACTTGGCTCCAGGCTGTTCAGACTTGCCAGCTTCTGGGCCCCCAAGCTGGGCACGGGCTTCGAAGGTGACAGGGATGGTGATCTCCGCCGACTGGGTGGCTGGCTTGGGCAACGGGGCCTCCACGGTGAGCGTGCCCTCAGGGGACAGGGAGGAGGAGACCAGGGTGGGGTCCACACCGGGGGGCAGCCTAGACACGAAGAGAGGGAGGACAAAAGTTACACACTAGAGGGTCGCTGCGCCCTCCCCCGCCCCCTAGATCCGGCGCCGGGACTCACGTGTATTTCCGAGTGAAGCACCGGGAAATGAAGCCGTGCTCATCCTGTCGCTCTTCGTGCTTGCCTAGAGGAGAAGAGGGAGGTCAGAGGAGACGGTAGGGGCGTCTCCAGCTGGCCTACATTCAAACACGCCCCACCTGGTGGCCAGGACTCATGGCAGGAGAGGATTCACTAAGGGATTTGGGGGCCCTTAGTGATTTGGGGACTGTCCTGGGACCTCAGAAGCTTCTGGAAAGTTCGGTTAAGGGGCTTTGGGCTGGAGAGTAGGGACGCAGCGCCAGGCACGCGCACACGCCCCCTCCGCAGACCGAGGCTAGGGGCGGGGACCGCGCTAGGGGTGGGGACCCGATGCCCTCTTCACACCCACCTCAGGCTAGGCGGGGCGCGGGTGGGCGCAGGGAGACCTGGCCCCTCAGAGGTGGGGTTGGGGGGGGTCTCTGCTGGTAACGGGCGTTTCTTTCCGTAGTAGATAAGTTTTAGGGCCCAATAGTCCCTTAGGAGCTACCAGCGAGGCCCCCCGCCCCCATCCTAAAAAAGCAGACACAGGCCAGAGGGCAGGGCGAGGAGGCTGGGCCCAGCTCCCAGGACTCGGTCCCCGGGTCCTCGTTTAAGTTTTCACTTCCCAGGCCCCTCGCCCTGCCCAGGGCTCCTCCCCTAAACGGGCGAGAGGCCGGGGCGGGCGAGAGGGGAAGGGAGGCGGGGCGGGGTGGGGAGCCGGGGTCCTCAGTCCCCGGAGGGCTCACCAGTGATCTCCACCACGCCGTCCTTGGTCTTGACCGTCAGCTCCTCGGGGGCGAAGTGGTTGACGTCCAGGGACACGCGCCAGCGGTCGGCCGTCTGCTGGATCTCCGAGACGCCGCTGCTGAGCTGCCGGCTGAGCGCGCGGCTATAGGCGGGGCCCTCGATCGCGCGGGTGCAGCGGGCGCACGTAGCCCGGCCAGCCGCTGTGGCTCAGCCACTGCGACCACTCCTCTGGCAGCCGGGGCAGCCCGAAGGCCTGCTCGAAGAGGCGGCTGTGGGCCGGGTACCAGTCTCGGAAGGGGTCCCAGCTGGGGCTCCGCAGGAGCGAGAAGGGCACGCGGCGCTCGGCCATGGTGGCTCGGCGGGATGCGTCTAGCTGAAGCTCGGGGAAGTGGAGAAGTGTCTGGCGCCGGACCCCGCAGCGCTTTTATGGGCCTCCAGCCGGGTATTTTTAGCAGGCGGTGTTTCAGGTCTCTATTAATGGCAATGACTGGCTGGGGGCGGCCCCTCCCCCTGCGTTCCCCTCTACTGCATACTGGGGCGCGGGGCGGGGCGAGGAAGGACCTGCCCACATCTGGAACCTTCTCTTGTTTGAGAAAACAAATGACTGGAGCCCCGCTGCTGGTGCAGTGCCCACTGCCGGACACTCGCAGGTTTGGGCGCTAAAGCGCTGGGCCACACCCTGTGGATGGTCCCGGCCTTTTGTCCAGCAGGACAAAACCGAGAGAAATCGGGCTGCTTGTCCCGGGAACACACAACTAGAAGTGGCAGAGCCGGGATTTAGATCACAGGGTGTCTGTGAAACAATGTCTTAAGAAGTATCATGGTTAGGAGTGTGGCCTGGGGACCCAGACTGGTTCACATCCTGGTTCTGCCACTAATTGGATGAACTTGTGCAAATAAGAGTCTTTGTGCCTCAGTTTCTCCATCAGGAAAATGGGGATAATGATAATAATAATGCTTCCATCACTAGGTTGGTGTGAGGATTCAGCAACTTAATGCAAGAAAACATTTTAGTCCAAGTCCTGCTGTGTGATAATTAAGTATTATTATCATTAGCTACCTGGAATTGAAGAGGGGGAGGAGGAGGGAGCAGTGCATATCTCCCTATGGCAAATGCATGGCATGTGTAGGTCTGGCCGTTTTCCCCCTGCGCCCAAGTGGGGCGGACCCAGATCAGAAACTCTGAGGCTCAGTGCGGAGAGAGGGTCAGGAGGAAGGTTATTGTGAAATCTCCCCATTATATCTATTTTACCATAAGGGGCCCTGGCCAGGGAACTTGACATGCAGCAACCTTGAATCTAGTCAGTGGGCTTCGCAGCTGTGATACGGGACAAAGCCCCTCCTTTCCCTTTTTGTGGATTATGATCCTGAAGCTCCTTTTGTTTAATAGTCCCACAGCACAAAGGGAGAAGGGGCTCCAGGCAGTTCCTTTAAACTTGCTTGGAGGCTGGGCCTGCTTAACCCCACATCCTATCTGACCACCTATGGGATCCAGGTCCCCACTCCTCCCTCTGGGAGAGGCTGCTGCCCCTAGGGTCCTGCCATAATCTTAACATTGTCTCTCCTGCTTTCATTGACATGACCCCAGTCCAGCCTTCCTTCTCCTGACTTCCGTCCTATTATTTCTCCTTTCTAGGTGAAAAAACTGAGGTTCTGAGAGACTGTGACTGGCCCCGGGTTTCCCGTAAGGCACTAGCAGAGTAAGTGTCTTGCTTCTCTAGTGCTCAGGGCTGTTACCCTCGGGGTGCCCCTCCCTGGAGTCCCCTACTTCCTCTCCTTCCAAGACCCACTGGGCTTGCTGTGCCTCTCCTGGGGCTGAGCTGAGGCTGTGCTCCTGCCAGTTCCACAGGGGGCTTGCCCTGCCCAGGACCCCTGAGGGGCTGGAAGCCAGACTCCAGGCCACTCACCTTGACGAGCTACAGTAGCAACAAGTCTCATGTTGTCTCTGAGCCTCAGTTTCCTCTTCAAGAGAAAGAGCTCCTAAATATCTTTCTTACCCACCTGCTCCCCATCAGGAAAGAGCTGGCATTGGGCCACACATCTGAGGTCACCTCTGGAAAGGCCTCCAAACACCTGGAGCTCTTGTGGGCCAAGGGTAGGAGGCAGACAGGATGCCTGTCCTCTGCACCTCCTCCCTTGCCGGATTATGTCATGAGCCCAGTGGGTCTCCATTGGGAGTCTCTCACTGTCCTCCAAGGGTCTCAGCTTCAGGAAGCCCCAGGCCTTCCCTTCCTGGCACTCCCAGCCTCACCCATCTCCAGCTCTATAAAGTCGAGGTGAGGTCAGGAGCCAGGGAGGGCCCTCATCGGCCCCTGCCTGCCCATCGGCCCAGACTGGGGCCCAGGTGCCCCACCCTAGCGGGAGCTGTCAGATATAATCACAGATGCTTCCAAGTGTGGCCCAGCCAGTCCCAGCCTTGCTCTGGGTGGGGCCTGCCTGCCTGGCCGCCAACATCTCGGAGACAGAGGCTCCCTTCATAGCTGCCTTCATCTTGCCTGAAACCAGGGCGAGGAGGATCCATCGCTGCTGCCCCAGCCAGGGGAAGTTGTGCAACCCAGGGCACAACCCCCAGCACTCTGTCCATGGGACGAGGGAGGCAGAACTGTGAACTCACACCCATCTTCAATGGGTCAGCTCTTGAGGCACTCCTAGGTCACCTGGCCAATCACAGGGGAGGGAACATGGGCGGCTCTGGGTGGTGATAAATGGGGTGGGAGTGTGGGAGTAACTGGATTTTGGGGTCAGGCATGGCTGGGCTTGAACCTGCTGCCATTCACTGGCCTGGTGACCTCTCTGACCCACACATCCCCATCTGCAAATCATGGCTAAGAACACATCCATCTTGCTGGGCTGTAGTGAATCTCTGATATGATAACGCGTGTGAAGTGCCTACTACACAGGAAGTGTTCATTGTTATTAAGGACAGAGGGCCTTTAATTTTGGATATTGAGACTTAAGTTAATGAGAATTATCTGGTTGTATGTGCTTTATGGCATGTCCAAGTATCTTATCAGAGTTCCATTTTGGAGATGAGAAAACTGAGTCATTATGGCCCCTGGGTCACAAAGCCTGGGGTGGGGGTGAAGGGATTGGAACCCGGGCCTCCTGCCTCTGGTCAGGCAGGGGAGATCCTTCCCAGGCAGTCCAGGGAGGGCTGTGGGCTGTGGCTTGTGGGCCCAGGGTGAGGTGTGCAGCCTGGACAGGGAGGGTTGGGCCAGCCTCTCTGGGTTCCACTCCAGCCCTGACTGGGCACCCTTCCTCCAGAGCACTGAGCTGCCAGGGGTAGTTTTTCTGGGATTAAGAGAACAACTCCACCCATCCAGGGATTTCCCAGAAGCCACAGCGGTTGTGGGGAGGTGAGTACTGCAGGAATTCCTTGATCAGAGGGGCCCCTCCCCTCACCCCTAGCCTCAAAGTCTGAAGTACTCTGCAGCAGCCCTGAGACCAGCCTCCCAGCCTCCTGCCTAGCCCTATGCCCGAGGCCTTGGCCACATTAGCCACTCCCTTGGCAGGTCTTTGCCAATTGCGGCTGCACCAGCCCCTCCCTCCCTGGCCCAGCCTCAGAGAAAGCACGAGAGTCTTCAGGCAGCTGCTGGAGCTCCTGGGAGAGGCCTGACAGCTGATGGATTGCCAGTTGCTGGGCCTGCTGGGAATAAAGATGTGGGCAGCCGTAATTAGAGCACATGGGGGCTGGGGGCACTGGGTCCTTCTGGAAGCGTCTAGACACTGCCCCTCTGGGAGTCCATTTCTGAAAACCTGTCTCTAGCCTGCTTATCCCCTAGGCCTCTGGCTTCTGGCTGGCCTTGGGGTCACCTCATCCCTATCACTGCTGAAGGCAGGCAAGGACGGGTCAGGTGGGAGAGCTGTGGACCCATCCTCCCGGACCTCCCGCCTCACTGTCCAACAGAAAGAATCTGTCTAGCTTAAGAGTCTGGGGACCTACATGTCTCTGACTGTGACCTTGGCCAGCGGCCGGTCTCTGTGACTCATTTGCTTCATCTGTACCATGAGAACATCGGACTGGATGTTCTCGAAGACACCTTCCAGCGTTGGTGAATCAACAGTTTCTCCTCCACTCTCCCCCTCCCAGCCTGCAGCACCCCCTCCTGGGACGTGGTTATGGTGAGTGGAAGCAGAGGGTAAAGGAGGACGTGGAGGTGATGGCATCCCCTGTGGTGCCCGTGGAGGTGGGAGGCCCTGTGGCTGGAGCGCCCTCGTCCTGGGTGTCCTGAGAGCCTTTCTCAGGTGGAGAGGGGCCTGGAGAAGGAAAGGCAGGTGCCTGGTGATAGGGTCAGTTTGCTGAATATGCCCTCAGCTGAGAGAGGCCTATGGGAGGCCAGGGGGCTTCCAAGAGCATCTCAGAGAGACAGGGGATGGGGAATGCCATCTGGGACCCCCAGATTGGGCATGTGCACTGTGACTTGCTATCCTAGGTCTGGGAAACCGATTAAGGAAAGGGGACGAATATGCCAGGGCACAGGAAAGCTTTGTCCAGACTCCTGGCTACTGTGTTTGTTGGGAGAGGAAAGATGGAGGGGTCCCCAAGGCTCCAAAAGTGGAGAGAGAGACCAGGAGAGGACACACGATACCCAAACACCACATCTTACTAAGGTTCCTCCACCCTGGCTCCCATCTCCCCCTCCTTGCTACCCGATGTAAAATTGGAGTTTCCTGTTTCCCTGCCTGCCTTCCTGGCAGTGTTTTTCCATTTTTCCAAGGTATAGAACAGAAAAGTTCCAGCTGAATCCTCCGTCTGTGGGAGGGATGGGCCTGGTACCCTCCCTGTCTTTCTCAGGGAACGGACACCAAGTATCCAGGGAGGTGCCAAGGACGTGAGTGAGCTTCAGGGCTTGCAGTATGACATGGACACCGCCCCCACCCCCTTCCCAGGGATCTCTCTTTCTGTCCAGGCCTGTTTTGTATTCCTTCTGGCGAGCTGCCAAGCTGCAGTTTTTCCTCTCTCTCTGTCGCCCTCTAGGGTCTTCCTGCCGCCACCACGCTTGCCTTTGGTCTCAGCCCTCATGGTCCCTGGAACTGCTCATTCCCTGGTTCCCCTCTTCACTCCTTTACTCAGTCAACAAACATTTCCAGGGGGCCTGTTTTGGGGATGCAGCAACAAGAAGGCGTGGCCTGGTCTCCAGAAGCTCACAGATTTAGGGAGAGAGAGACATGCCAACAAATAACTGGATCAAGAGCTTGGAGCCCTAAAAAGGGAGGAACAGACCCAGAGCTGGAGGAACTCAGAAGTGGGAGTGGCCACTGCAGCTGGGGCTCAGGAAGGCTCCCTGGAGTAGGAGGCAGCTGAGCTGGGCCTCAAATCATGAGCTCACGGGAACCTGTGGAGGTGGAGAGGGTGTGCACGGGGCCGAAGGGGGCCCAGCGAGGAGGGTCAGCTGGAGTCCAGGACAGTGGAAGGAGTGGAGGCTAGAGGGTGGCAGGAAGCAATTCCAGGTGAAGCCATTTGGATGCCTTCCAAGCCCGTGACTGGTGGGCACGGTCACAGGATCTACAGGGCAAGGAGTTCTGTTTCATTAATTCAGTACTGTGTCCTCAGAGCCAGGAACTGGATGTGGCGCTTAGTAGGTGATTAATAAGCATGTATGGAATGAGCAAGTGAATGGTCAGAGTTGCATTTTAGGTACGGTTGGGATGGGCTGGAGGGGGCCTGGCCCAGTCAGGCCAGCTAGTGAGGAGGTGAGCATGGCGGGGAGCAGTCCAGGTGAGAGGCTAGGAGTGGGGGTGGGGCAGAAAAGGTGGGCACAGCCTGGCTGTGGGATGCCAATGAGGGATGAGGAAGGCAGTCAGGCTGGGCAGTGAGGGAAGGCAATGGGGGAAGCAGGGAGGGGCAGGGTTGGGCTCAGTGGGAGACAGGCTGAACTTTTACGCCCACCTTCTGGCATGTTACATGCCCCACCCCCACCAAGAGGTGGCATGTCCAGAACGGGGCCAAGTCTGCTTTCCCTTTAGCCCCAACCCTTGCCTCAGACTGAGTTTTGCTGAACCTGTATAAAGGGTTAAAGAGATCACTGGTGTGTCTTTGAACAGCTTCCTCAGATCAGAAACAGAGCCACCAGTCAAAGGCCTCCTCCGGTGCCCTTTCCAGTCTGAGCAAAAGCTAAAGAGAGGGTCGTGTGTTGACACAACCGTGTGCTTCAGAGCACGGCCTCCCTGCTCTGGGGCCCAGACCAGACCAAGGACGTCTCCTATGTCCTGGCTCATGCAGACCGGAGCCATGATTAGTCAGCTGCCTTCTCAGCAGAGGTGGACCAGGGTTCTCAACCTGTGGGGCCCTAAAGAATGGCAGAGTGTCTGTGAGATCCGAAGTTGCCTGCAGAGTGTGGGCTTGTGCGTCTTCTTCTCAGGAAAGGGCTCCCAACCTTCATCAGATTCCCCAAGAGCAGTTGATTTAAAGTAGGTTAAAATCTATCACTCTAGGAAAAGAAGGAAGAGCAGGAGGAGAAGGAAGGGGAGGATGTGTGTGTAGATCTATATAAAGGAAAGAAATTCGTGAGTAGCTATTAAAAAAAAAACACCACGTTAAGGTCTCCCTTTCCAATCCCCATTCTAACACCCGCCAGGGCTGGATACACAGTGTTTTCCTTAAGTGGCCACTTATGGACGGCTCACACTGTGCCAGGCCCTGTGCCAAGCACTCTGAGGACGGCATCCCCTTCCGGCGTCCTCCCGGTCCCCTGTGGATCCTGGCTTCACAGCCAGTGTTGCTCCAAGCTGTGTTCTAGCCACTTCACCTTTAGGGAGGGTCCTGCACGTGGGCCTGTCCCGGCCCCGTCCACTGCTGAAGTGAGGCCATGTGTGAGGGTTGGGGGATGGGGATATTCAAGGCCACAGGGCCTCCAGGCTGGGTGGAAGGTCTTTTTGGGTCCCTGTTTTTCTTCCTATTGAGCTGAGCCGCAGGCTTTGCAGACTCATGAGTGGAGGCAGCAGGTGGGCATGCTAGGCCCTGGTTCCTTGGTGCCAGCTCTCATCCTGGGTCCCCAGGAGTCTGAGCCCCCCTCATTTCTCAAAGGGAAGGACCCCAGGACCCCCTGTCCTCCCCACACTCCCCAGGTGCCCAAATCCACAGAGGCCTGGTCTCACCACCTGCCGTCCGGGCACCAAGTGTTTTATTAGAGTCCAATTTTTATCCGCACCGCGGAGGAGGGGGAAATTGAGAGGGAGGAACCCGGATCAGACCCCAGACCCCTCCCCCAACCGGAGCCCAGGGTATCTGCCCTGTCGGGCCAAGGAAGACTTCATGAGATCCCTGAGGGCCCCAGGAGGAGGGGGCTGGGAGCAGCAGAAGAGGGCTGGGGACCACTGCTTCCCCATCCTTAACCCAGGCCAAGGCCCTCAGTCTAGATATTACCCTTTCTTCAAAGAGCTGTAGCACCCCTCTCTGGGAGAGGTACTGCTTTGGGCCCCCTGCTCCTTTGAGCAGGCCCGGAAGCACATGCTCTCTGCCTGCTGCCATCTGGCCCATGTCCCAGCCACTGGGCACACTGGGACACTGGGGCCCTCTTAGTCATTGACTGCATTGCTTTGCCCCCTCACAGGCTCCTCTTCCACCTACTCCTTCTCTCTTCCACTTCCTGACCCCAACCCCTTTTGATCTCAGGGTCAGATGCTGTTGTGGTCTATATGTCCCCCCTCTTGTCATGCAGAAGGCCTGCTGGCATGGCCTTGACCCAGGGCATGCGGTGAGGAGGGGAAAGCCTGGCTTGGATAGGTGGGACCACGGGTGAGCTCCCAGACCCTCAAGCTGAGGCTTAGGGGCCCACTGAGTCTGGGCACTCCTGGGCTAGGGGAGGGCTTTTGAGAGGCTGTGGGGCCAGCCTTCAGCCCTCAGCCAGGGTCCTCCTGCTGCCAGCTCAGAAGGGAGTAGTTCCCCAGCCTGGATGGTGTGTGCCAAGGGCTAGGCCATCCTTCCTTCTGTCTGACTTAGCTCCTGCTTGCTGTCCCACCTCCATGTCCACCTGGTGACAGATAAGAGCTGAGGGTCTTCTGGAGTGGCAGGGGAGGCTCCTAGGTCTGGCACCTTCAAAGGATCCCTGGGTCCACTGAGCTGAGGTCCCCAGCCTGGTGAGCTGGCATCAAGCAGGAAGGGGGGCAGGGTGATCCCTGTGTTCAGAACGGCTCTTTGTTCCCTGGACATGGTGGTCAGGCAGGAGGTGGGGGTGGGGACCCTCTAGAAGCAGCAGAATCCAGTCCCTCCATGTCTGCAGGGCATCCATCCCCAAGGTCTTCTCTGGCCCCAGGACCTCTTTGTAGCAGTGGGGTGCAGGCCCCCCACGGGCCCTGGGGCCTGACCCCTTGCTGCTCCCTGTGCTGAGAGCATGAAGCTGGGTCTGCTGGGCTCAGAAGCCCCCACTCTCTGAGCTGCTCCGGCTGTGGTAGCTGGGACTGGGGGTCCGAGAGGGGCTGCGCGTGCGGCTGCGGGTCCGACTGCGGCTGCTGTAGCTTCCGTGGCTGTGGCCGGGGCTGGGGCTGCGGCTGGGGCTCCGGCTTGAGTAGTCACTGCTCAGGCAGCTGGAGGAGGATGAGGGGCTGGGCCGGTAGTAGGGGATGGGACGCTTTCGGGCACTGCCGGGAGGGAAAAGCCAGTTACAGGCCATCCAGGGCCCTGAGCTCTGCCAGTTCTGGGCCCTCAATCAGGCCTGGAGCCCCTCCCCAGCAGTGGCCAGGGCTTCCCTGCCTCAGTTTCCCTTGAGACTTGGCCTTGGAATTCTCCCTGCCTCTGCCCCTCCCCCCCCCCGCCCTGCCCCAACAAGATTGGACACACAGTGGGGTTACTTGCCAATTTCATGTGATCACTTTGTTTTTTCCTCACTTGTCTGGAGGGAAAGGGGACCAAGTGTCTGCTTGACTGGAGTGGGTGCTCAGTATTTGTTGAATAAATGAAACTTACAAATATAGACAACTCACATTAGCCAAGCTAAGTTAAGTGGCTTCTGTGCATGGGAAGGTTTGTCAGTATGGCCCAGTCCTGCTTCTTTGTTCCCCACAGAATGGAGGAGTTTGGTTTTCAGGTCACTCGGAGGGAACAAGAAGGAGCCCCCTGGCCACTGCTGCCCCTGCCCAAGGCCTGGCCCAATCCCACCGGCCCTGCCCCACTCCTTACTCAGCTACCTCCCTCCGGCCTGGAGTTAGTTTGAAGCCAGGAGACTGTGACCCAGAGAAAAGAAAAGAGAGTTAAGAGGGCAACAGTGTCCCCAACACGTCGGGTTAATTCTGAGGAGGGAAACAGGTGCACATTAGTGGGAGGAGGAGGAGGCTCCCTGGGAGGGGGACTGAGGTGAGTGCCAGGTGGAAGGTGTGGAGGTCCGGCCATCTTAGGACCCCCTGCATATAGGGGTGTCTGAGGGCAAGCCTTAAGCCTCTGGTGTTCTGGCCTCTAGCTCTGGGGCCAGTGCCCTCTTCTCCCTCAGGGATATCTGAATCATCAAGGATTAGTAAGGGCTGGTTGAGAATCAGACCAGGTTAGAGCTGAAAAGATGCTCAAGGAGCCCTGCTTATTTTTCGGACATGAGAACCGAGACTCAGAGAGGCACACTGATATCCCAAGGCTGCCCAGTAAGTCTGAGGCAGAGCTGGGCTCAGAATTTTGTCTGTGGCCCTCTAACCCCTGTCAGGGGTCTAGGGCTTCAGGGTGATCTCCTCAAATGCAGACAGTCATCTCACCTGGAGACCTAGGCCCAGACCCTTGAGTCTGGCCAACTGTGTGGGCAAAGTGGGAGGGGCTGGTTCCCCCCACAGCTGCCCCAGAGACCAGATGGGGGTGCCCCCTCCTCCAAGTTCCCCAGGGGGCTGGGAAGGGAGCAGAGAGGTTAGTGAGAAAAGGAGAGGCAGACAGACTGACAGCTGAACAGAGCCAGTCAGCTCACATGGGCATCTCCCCTGCAGCCTGTGGAAAGGGGGTCCACCCGGCCCCCAGGCTGGCCACAGGCCACTCAGCAGACTGGACCTTGAGATGAAGGAAAAAAGGAGACATCATTGCCAGGAGATGAATGTGGGGAGGGATGAAGGAGGGAGGGGCTCCAAGAGGGATGGCTGGAATCTTCCAGAGCTGAACACCTTGTCTGCTGCTGTACCCAGACCCAAGAACAGGGCCCCTCCCCTCCATGGCCTTCAAGACCCTTCCCTTCTGGAGACCTCCCTCCCCTCAGTGAGCCTGCACCTGTCTCTCTGGACCGAACCCTTCCCCAGCACCTCAGCCCTAGCCTGAGAGCTCTCTTCTCTTCCCCGAACCCCTACCTCCTCTCCTTCAGGGCCCTCCCCTCCCCGGACGGAGCAGGTTCAGTCCGTCGAGGACCCTCGAGGTCCCTGCCGCCCAGCCTGGCCAGGCCAGGCCCCTCCGTACCTGGTGATGCGCCGTGGCTCCATGAAGCTGGGCGAGTCCCGTCGCCGCTTGCGGATGGGCGAGTAACTGCGGGAGCGGCGCCGGGCGCGGGCGGCCTCGGCCTCGGCGTGCCTCG